AAGTAATATATCGAAGTAAATATCTATATAATTATTTCTGTGATTAAATGTGACAGCACAATAACGTTAATATTAACTAAAATTAAAATTATCAATGATTTTGGACAGTAATTAAAGGGAATTGGCACTATTAATCAGTTTCCTAAATTAAACTTTCTATAAAAAAATATGTTCAACATGTTAAGAATTTCAATATCTAAAGAAACTGCATTTATTAATAAACTATTATAGTTAAAACTCAAAGATTGAGTGTTATATTTGATTTAAAATAATTTTATCAAACTACAAATAATAGCATTAATTAATCAATTTATTTGCGCCAGTTAGATAGGGCAAACTTGACCATTTATTAATAGCAATGATACTTCAAAGTTAACCCTCTCCTCTCCGAATAATGAGAGGTATCAAACGGTTGAGTTTGATCCCTACTTAATCCGTACTGTGAAAAGCTATTGAAATCATTATATAGCTTCGGAGATTTTAACGACAAACATGAAAAATAGTTTTCATATAAAATGGACAAAAGTCAAAAGATCGGAGAGCCTTGAACTAATAAATATCCTTTTAATATTATAAATGGGAAAATTTCTTTGCTTGGATGTTTGTCCGTCAATCACGCAGAAACTACTGAACGGATTTTGATGAAATTTGGCATACAGATAGAATATTAGCTGACTTAGATAATAGGATACTTTTTATCCCACTAATTATTTCTCTAGGGACCACGAGGGCGACCCTCTGGCGAAAGCTAGTAATTATATAATTGTGTGATGCCATAAGAAATCCTTGTCATCTGTCTCATCCACAAGTAAACTTTTATTGATGTTTAAAAAAATATATACTCGTAACTAAAATGATAGTCTTTTTCGGATTGTTTTTGTCTCTACCAGAGAATGCCTTTGGAATTAAGTCCGCCGTTTTTGTTTTATTATAAGCAATATAAAGTAAATAAAATAGTTATACAATGGGATACTAGCAGTCGTTGTGATGCTGTTTCTGGTGCCCCTGAAGATGCGATACCCTAAGTCAGGGGTCAGCAACCTATGGCTCTTTCGATGTAAATTTGCAGCTCTTAAGTTTCATTTACAATAATCATATATGTTCGAAATATTGTTGCTACTCCTTAATACTTGTATATAAATGTAAAACAAAGTTTCTTGCTGCCACATTTGAGTCAGTCAAAATACATGTAGTAAAGGTAAGTGTTGTTTGAGGGTAACAATATTTCCAACGAACTCAATTCCATGAAGAATATCTACGTTCTCTCTTATTTTTCTTCTTAGAATAATTCAAAAATGAGAAAATCGCAACGAATCTATCTCTACTTCATAATATTTCATTTTGTAATAAAATTGACATTAGAATTGTTACACACTTAAAATCGCATAAAATATCGCACACCCTAACCTTTTTAATGGTCTCCATTCACCCTCATAAGAAACAAAGAAAAAAGTTAGCAAAAATGTAGTGTTCTATATTTATTTTTATACCAGAATCTAGAGACTGTCCCTAACCGTAAGAACCAGTGTGCTATTGTAAAATGAACTTTATTTAAAAGGAATACGGTGTGTGAAGCTGTGGGGAGAGATCTTGACTGTATGCGATTACTGTGGCCAAAGAATTTATGGTCAAACTTTCGGTAGAGGCGACACGGCGCGAGTTTTTATTATGATCAGCTCAGTGGACCGTGAAAGCAAGTTGCCGCGGGGAAGCACAATTTCCATACCTCATGTCTGCTTCTGTCGCCCTGGTGCTTTCTTAATAAAACTTGAGGTTTGTCTTTCTGTTATTTATTAAAATTATGCTCGCTCCCTCGCTCTTAGCTAAGTAATGCCAAAAGTAAGATAATATTCCATAGTGAAATTGGTTTTCTGTATTTAATTAAATATATACATTTACATAAAAGTTGTGTAAATAAGTAAAAGTATAACGCTATTACCATGATTGGAACTCGGGTTTATATGCAGTATCTATATGATTATAAAAAAAGGTAGTTTCCAACTTCATTTGATAAATAGGGGGTAATCTCCAGAAATACATTCAGACATTATTAAATTTTTTTCACATACAGGAAGAGTCATTATATTCGGGTAATATAGACTATAATTAACGCGAGTGCAGACGCGGGAAAACAGCTAGCCATACTTATGTTGGTACATCACTTCATAGTATAAAACAAAGTCGCTTTCTCTGTCCCTATATCCCTTAAATTTTTAAAACTACGTAACGGATTTTGATGCTGTTTTTTTTTTTCATAGATAGGGTGATTCAAAAGGAAGGTTTTTATGTATAATACAAGACCACGCGTGCTAAACCGCTGGCGGACAGCTAGTTAAAGAATAACCAATGTTATTATGCTTATTGAATAATACGTAATACGAAGAAGTGATACTTAATCACTTCTTCGTATTATTCTAAGCGAGGAAGAGGTAATAAATAGGTAGTCCTTTAAAAAAACCAAATAAGTTTAACATTGCACTAGTGTATTCATATTAGTGAGAAACTGGTTGATATTTTAATATTTTTTAAGGAAAATATTTATGTAAGGAGAATATATAAATTTTGTTAGTCTGTGTAAAGTAAAATACATATTAATTTAGGAAAAATCACTGACTTAGAAATGAAAAATAAACAATCGACTCGCAACCCCCCCATAAACTTTAAGAAAGTCGTGAAAAATGGAAGTAAGTATGAAAAGAAATAATTTTCCGCGCGACTCACTTGTGCAAATGAGCTGAATGAGCCAACTCATGCGAATGATTGACTGCGATGAAACAATCCTACTGGGATTTAAGAAAAACATCATTGGTTTGTTTAATACAGAGATGTCAAACGTTTACAGGTAAAGACGCAGAATTAAAAAAAAATTAAGATAAATATAAAGGCTATTCAAACTTCTTGGTAAAAACCACGGGTAAACTAAAACAGTTTAAAAGACTATTAAAAAATCTTGTTAAGGAACTTTATTATAAGACCCAATATAATTAAATAATTGATAAATAAAGATAAATAACTGTTTGATCTATATCTTGTACTGTGGTTCTAACCATCATCCGACCAAAATGAGTCAACACGTCTCAATTTGATGTATAACGTTCTGTCATCATCAATTTACTTAGGCGGCCAACCTACTAACTTTTAATCCGGAGGGTTCTTCTAGTTTTGATGGAGGATTTCTATGTAGTTTTCCGGAACTTCTGTCACTTCAGATTTTTTGCAGTTTCACAATGAGGAAGTATTTAAAAAAAACATTAGTTCCCGATTTCAAACTAGATGTCGCTACGGTACTTTTTTGATTTCTCCATGACGACACTTTCGGTTTTCTTTCATATATAAAAGTTAATTAATTTTTAAAACTCAATAAGCAACGCATATTTCTTTTGTACTTTTTCGTATTTATATTGATATTTAAGTTTCGAACTTTGCTAATTTCATTTTTCAATATGTTAGTTAAAAGGAAAGGAAATGCCATCCTTGGTCCACGTGTTTCCTGCAAACATAAACTTTGGTAGAGTCGCCATCTAGTGAGGTGATTTTTAGTGCTTTCTTTTTTTCCTTAAAAAAGCGGAAACAAGAAGCTTATTTATAACTTAGCTAATTTTGACGAATCTACTGCCATCCGTAGATTGCGTTCCGTATTTTAGTTAAGACATAATCACGTTAGAGGCTGCACTATCGTGGTGCTAAATTGTCTCCTTACATATTTTTACATTTCCATCAAAACATAATTATTAAAACTAATTTCAAAAGTGATAAGTAATAATAAAAAAATGTTTGATAAATTATACCAACTTAAATTATAAAATTCTCTTTTGTGACATTTGTGACAACAAGTTTTGCCATCTAGCGTTGAGATTCCAATTCATAGGCAATTCATGCTTTACTACAAGCTATAGTTTCGCCATCTAGCGGTGAGTAGCAAAGTTCTGTTTTATCTCTAACGTGGATGTCTCACGGCCCTCGCTCTTGACGACATCTCTTGCATTTTATGTTTGCCTGGTAATTTGCGAACAATGACTGTTACGTTTAACATGACACATGACACAAAATTGACTGACAATGTCATTCGGATGCGCGTTCTACCGTGAAACATATTGTTGTCAAGCAATCGTCCAGTTTCGTGACCTCATTGAATAATTCTTCATTGAAAATTTACATTTGGTTCTGTCGTTACATTGTAATTTATATCTTTTTCCCTCTAATTTAAATAACACAGTCATTATCTGCGTTACAGATATTTAGATACTTAGATAAGGATTCAGATACATAGTTAATTCCAAAAAGAGTATTGTTCGTAAAATAGAGAAACAGGTAATAGGCACTAGATTTTTAATGTCAGTGTCTCAAAAGAAAAAAATAATCTATTTCTTATTGGATCACTTTGAAATCTGTTTGTCAGTCTGTTAAAGCTCATGATGATAGAGTCAAATTAAATGGTAAGTAAGCATACTCAGGTCCACAGTCCATCGAAGCTTTTTATTTACGGCATACCATCGTTTATTTCGTCCTAGGATTCCACGTGCATACTGTTTGTTTTGATCTTCAACATCATTTATTTTTATTACTCACTTTTCGTAAATTGAAATTTTGAATAAACCAATAAGATTTTTATGAATCATTTCGTAAAAATTCGTCGAGTTATAAACATTATATATACTTAATTTCAGTCAATTGCAATCTGTTGTAAAAAAGTGTTAAAATCTATTTATTATTTCCTGTTTCCGTTATGCTCACGAGTTGGAACTCAAGAAAAATGTATACTATATCAAATCAAATATAATAAAGTTATATTACTCACCAAACCCGAAGAAAAGGGATAAGTAATTGTTCTATTAAACTATTTTAATATTTTTTATTTAGGTTACCATACGAACTGTTTTTATATTACTTTTTCATTTGTTACAGTCTTTTTTGTTTACCCTTTATTACATTTAGTTATCAAGCTTAGTTAGCCTTTTATTCATTTGCCTAAGCATCGAATCCGCTACAAGACCAACTGATCCATTCTCATATGATAATAAAAATTCAAATTGTAATTTGAACTGTGTACTTCAAAATATCTAAAAAAGTAATGATAGTAATTATCTTAAAAATGATTCGTATTATATTCCAGAAACTTCTACAGTGACGTCAGCCGGAGGTTTGGTGAAGGCCATTATTATTAATCGCCCGATTTCAATAACAGCTTTCTGTATTTCTTTGTCACTTTTACATGTGTTTTTTTTTATTTAACAATATCTTATTACTTTCACAGTAAATGTTCGCCATTACGGGTACCTTTTTTTCTGTTGCATGAATTTAATAACGACATGATAGCAGTCAGAAACGTTATTGATTATCTCAAGTTCTGATACCAGATGAATGGTAGGTAAAATTATGAGAATAGAAATGATTACACCACTGTATAAGTATATATAATTATAATTTCATATTTTATAACAAATATAGAATGACATACTGCATCAGTATGGTTTAAAGTGGGTTCAAGAGAAAATATTTACAGTAGATTTTACAATATTCAAAGTATAAACTAATTTAAATAATATCTTTGCCTTATTTTTTATTTTAACATATTATTTATATTTACAAAAAATATTTCTAAATTATTAATACCAGTCATCAAATAAAGGCAGTTGTTTTTTTACATTATTCATAATAATCTAAATTCTATTTTATTTACATTCAATTTCATAAGCGACTGAAAATGGACGGAATCAATTAACAAAATATGGAATCATTTACATGTAAGGCACACATTTTGGTGAATAAAATTGTACCAAAGATTAATAAGAAGTAGAACTGCTGTCTGGTCTTAATTGTTTTGTTTGAACTTCATCATAAGCAATAGTGAAGATGCTTTTCTTTTCAGTTATTGGTAGCCTTTTTATATTCCCAGTCTGATGAACAAGTGTATTCATAGCTATTCCAGAATCATTGTCATCTACATTGGTAGTTACACTCCTGTTGGCTTCAGTTACATCTCCTCCTATGTTTATTTTAGAAACATGTACTTCTGGTGTATTCTTCCTGTCTTCTTCATAACTAGTTGATATCGATATACTATGTGTTAATGCACTTTCTGAGATATTTGATTTTTGGTCTTTTTTCTTAACATCATCTTGATTGACGTATACTGGTTGTTGTTCAACAGAGGTCCTCTTAGGTAAAACGGGAATGTTTTGTTCACCACCTAAATATTTGGGTATATGGGTTGGTTGTATATAACAAAGCGGATTTTGATTCTCATATTGGTGTTCATATCTGTGTTCTGAATGTTGGAGCAAGGGGTGAACATCAGGTAACGGACCTTCAGGTACTGGTGTAACTTTTTCTTCTTTTAATAAGCGAGGATGAATGAATTCACTTTCTTTTGTTTTGGAGTTTTTTTTTACCTCTGAGTGATCACTTTGATCTCTACTTAATATTTTGCCATACCGACCAGTTTTGTCTTCTTTGATGTCTTTATCTTGATCGTTTTTAGTTTTTGATGGTCGTTTTGGTTTTGATGGTGGCATTTTATCAGTAGCTGATGGTTTTTGAGGTAGTGTTTTTTCAGATACTGATGGTTTTGAAGTAGAACTTGTTTTTTTACCATACCACTGCATATATCTTGGTAAGTTTTTCTGTACAATTTTTGGAACTTCTGTTGATTTGGCTGATTCTGCATTACCATCAGTTTTTTTAGGACTTGAATCTGTATTGCTCAAACTATCTCTTATAGGCGTTACATCCAATTCAGTAGTTTTTAAATTAAGAGATTGTTCGGCTGTTTGTCGCGCTTCAGTTGAAGATCCTTGTCTAGAAAATACTAAATTTCTATTATCTTTTGATGCGGAACTACTTCCGCTTTTAATTTCTTTACTATCGTGTTCTTCAAGGGCTAACAGCTCTTCTATGTGGTTTTGTCTTTGTAAACGCTTTTTTTCTCGTGAATCTGAATCTAATTTTTCTTCTAGAGAATCTGATATTTCCATTAATATTTCTCTTTTTAATTTTGATTTTCGATCAGTGTCAGTTGGTTTGATTTGAGTTGAGCTCACAGTTTCATTTTTTGAAGTTGTCACAATACTTTTAGTTATATCTCCATAATTTTTAACGTGTTCTTCCCTTTCATTAATTTTACTTATTTTTATATGTTTTTCACTTTCCAGAGATGGAGAAGCTTCACTTTCTTCAATTATAGGTGTTTTTATTTTACGCTTTAAATCATAGATTCTGATACTTCTCCTGGGATCCTTATATTTTATTTTCTTTTTTGGCTTTTTTCTCTTAACCCATGCTACTTTTTTGTTTTTGTCTTCTACTATCATTTCAGAATCATCTTCACTGTATGAGTCATTATCACTTCTTGCTTTTCTACGAGTAGGTTTAAGAAGAATAGGCTCTGTTTGTGTTCCGATATGGCATTCAGTTTGTGTTGCCATTACTGATTGTCCAGGGAGACTTTGTGTTTCTAATTTACTTTCAACCTGTGAGGCAGTTTCTTGATTTTGAAGCATTCTCTCACGCTCTATCAAAATTTGATGTAACAGCTCATTTTGTTTTCTTAAAGATGATTCTAGTAATTCTTGGTGTATCGTGGATTTATTTTGCATTTCCAATAATGCTGACTGTAAGTAATCTGCTTTCAAGGGAACAACACCCGGTACCTCTGGGGGTATGTTAGAATAGTCATGAAATTGATTATGCATCTCACTACCAGCACGCGACCTCTGACCAAGACTTTTACCCTCTTTTCCATTAAAGACGCTATCCGTGTCAGCAACTTCATCCATTTTATCTCGAATATTTTTGGCTTCTTCACCTTGTTCTCTTATAAATCTTTCCATCAACAAATCTTTTCCGCTGTCCACTACAACATATTGTGTATGTGGAATTAGTGTAACTGGTCTTTGTTGATGTAAAGGCAGATTTACATATCTTTCTTCATCATTTTTTCCTCTTGTTACAAGCCTTAAGATTTCAGTATTTCCGTCTTTGATGAAGTATTGATCTCTTCCTATGGAGGATGGAGCTCTTTCTTTATTTCGTTGTTCAACATTTTTATTTTCTGCTTTGTCGACCATAACTTTATTTTCAGACTTGAGAAAGACGCCAACTTCTGAGCCACGATCTATTTCATGTCTTCGCATTGAATCGTCGTCTTGATCTCTCTTGTGATAATGCAAAGTAGCAATCCTATCATAGCCGTTTTCTAAATCTTCTATGTATTCTTTGTGTTTATTTGCAAATGCTTCTTGAAGTTGCATTTCTTTAGTGTAAATTATATTTGGACCATCCCTATAAAAAAAAAATTGAATTGATATAACATCTTAAGAACGTTTCTATAGAGACAAATACTATACTGTACACAATATTATCGTACCTTGCACGAAGAGATTGTCTTCTATCGCTGTATTTGTAATCATTATCAGCGGCTGCATGCACAAATTCCTGATGAATGTCACCAGGAGTCGAAGCGGGTTTTGAAAGATCTTTTGACCTGTAGTTTCTTTTATTGAATTTCCACTGAGTCGGTTTCGTCCTCAAGTCTGCTTGTTCAGCACTCCACGCCTCCCTTCTACGCCATTCAGTGGCTTGTACTGACTTATTCTCTAAATTTTGTGTCGACTTATTTTCTCTGCCTGCTCCCTTGTCGTGAGCCACTAAACGCACGTCGTCCTCTGTGGAGTTGACACGGATCACTCTTTTCCTAGAATTTATTAATGGATGTCTATGTACCTAGCTGTTTTGTTACAATTTAAAATGTATATTTACATATGAAATAATACATAAGATGAATTATTTTAGTGTGTAGCTGTTTCGATATTAAAGCAATATGATGCATATGCATTCATGATGTGAAAATTAAGGCTATGATAATTTGTATAGTTACCTAAAATGTGGAAAAGCGGGTGAGAAACGTGCACTGGTTAGTTGGTGCATTTTAGTCTGTTAAAGATAGAAAGTACAAAAGAAAATTAATTTCGATGAACTAAAATAGTAAAGATAAAATGTATGATAAATGTAATTTTGATGTGGTAAAAGAATGCATGATAAAAGAAATGATTGTGTTATAAAAATAAAAGTAAAATATCTTTTAATATAGCTACAACGAATAAGCACACAACAATTACGTAAAAGAAAAACATGAACGTTCCGACAATTCATCCAAAAATAATCAGATTAATTTGCCTCAAATTCATTTTGCACTTTTTATATGGAACGTTTATGATTACTTCATTCTATCACTAATGTGCTAAGAGTGGGATATTTACCTTGGTGGCATATATAGTGGACAACCTTCACATATACAGCAGCAAATTAAAAGTAGTAATACGAGTGCTACTATTATTGCCAGCAATATTAATAACCAAAATAATAGACGACTCTCTGCTCGATATAGATTCTGAAAAAAGAAAGTAAAATTTCATTTCAGACATTTATGCTTGATAGCAATGTAAAATAGATCAATATAATACAGTGAACTTTTATAACATTTCTTTAAGCTAAAATAATGTTAGATGAAGCTTATTTTTTATTTATTACTGTCTGTGTATAAAAGGAATATAATGTTGTTACAGAACAAAAATACTTACAGAATCACCATTATCTGATGTCGAAGTATGGCTAGTCTGATCCGTACCTAAATTATTTGCAGAGCCTGTATTAATATGGTTAGTTCCCTGGTAGGTATTGATGTCATTGCCAATATTTCCGTTACCAGGTCCAACATTTCCATTGTTCATACCGGAATTACCAGCATTTGAACCTGGCTTCCCAGGATTTGTTCCAGCATTCCAAGTATTAGTACCTGAATTTTCATTTTTCATACCATTATTTCCATTTTTTGTTATTCCGGTGCTATACATTGTCATATTCTTGGCTAACTGCTCTTGAAGCTTTGCTACATTAATAGCTGTGTTACCTGACATTCGTACAATAGCTATTACTTCGCTTCTGAAATAATCATTGATTAAATTAATTGTGTTATTTTACATTTACATAAATAATGTTACAAATTTAGTACATATTTTTGAAATAATTCAATTACTTACTTTTCTTGACTAGACTCTTGTCCAATTAAATCTGTGTCTCCATTGTCTCCCTTATATGGTTTTATATCAATTATAGTAACTTTTCCTCCAGAAAGTGTACTGAGAATTTCTTCAAGTTTTTGTCTATCGGGGTTCCCGCCAGGTACAATAAATGACATTGTTCTGGTTTTGCTTTCAGGTGGATAAATTTTCACAATAGTAGTGGAAGATAAACTAGGAACGCCCAAATCGAAGGCTCTTATAGATAAACTAAAAGTTTCACTTTCTTGTTGTGAGTCTATTTGGCGTTTGTATCTCGGAACATTTTGTTTCTTAGTTCTCTTAAGAGCTTCAAGGAGATATAGCTCGCCTGAAATAAAAAAATAGAATTAAATTAGAACTTCAACCCGACAAATATGCAAATGCGTAATAATATGTAAAAAACTTGAAGTAATATTTACCAGTTTCAGTATTTATAGCAAACTTTCCATCATTATTCCCCTGTATTATTTCATATCTCACAACATTATTAGGTGGTTCTGCATCTTTATCAATTGCCTTCACAAACGCTGCTGATGTAAAATTGTTCAGGCTTGGCGAAAGTACGAACTCATATAACGATCTCTCAAACTCAGGTGGGTAGTCATTTACATCTAATAACTTAATAATTAATGGCACTGTTTCTCTTAAACCTACTCCATCGTTATCTCTAGCCTCTACTAAAAAATGCAAGTCTGGCATTGCTTCACGGTCAAAGCCGTGGTTATTGGTCGCTACACTTATAACTCCAGATATGGGGTCTAAATGAAGAGAAGTATTAAGGTATCCTAATATGGCAGTGTATTGGATTTTTCCAAAAGCTCCCGTATCAACATCGTCAGCTTGGACTTGCTCGACTCTAGTACCAGCTGTCACGTTCTCAGGTAACTCAACGTCATAAGACTGAGCAAGGAATACTGGAGGATTGTCATTGACGTCATTCAAATATACAGTAACATTTGCTGTAGCTGTCAAGTTCGTTGCTGGACCAAGTTCTTGAGCCATAATCTGAAAAACGATATGTATGTTTAATGTACTATAGTACTTTTGCTATTTCGGCATTAGTAATATATCTTAATCAAATTGTGTTATTTGTATACGATAGAAGATATAGATAATTATAAGCAATGTTGAAAATCATTTACCTGAAATACAACAGACTTGCGAGCTTCAAAGTCCAGCATGGTATTGTCCCTCACTTTAATGATGAACTGTGCATGTCTTTCAGCTACCGTTGGTGATATCTCGAATGTCCCATTATTTCCCACTAAAGTGAGAGAAAACACGCCATTCTTGCCTGCATCGTTGTCGTTCACTTGAGGAATATACGGGTCGTTGAATGTTAGGGCTGTACCTTGAGGAGCATTTTCATCCAAATAGGTGATGTAGCTGTAAATTCATAAAAACAATATTAATCGCGATAAAATGTCTTTTATAAATTGATGAAAATACTATGTAGTGATTCACTATATTGTTTAACTGTTAATATTGTAACTACTTCGTACTGTTACAGGTGATTTAAGTTCAGTGAATGTGAAGTATATTATTCATAAATATCACGATCTATTACGTTATTTATTTATTTAATTTTAACGTAATACTCTGATATGATGATAATTTTATTAAATTCATCATATTTACAATTAAATTAGATTCTAAACAATTTACTTACAACTGATTCTCAAAGTACGGCGGCGAGTTTTCCCGTTCCGGCAATATGAATGCGAGTTGTACCGTCGAGGACATGGCTTCTGGCTCTTCTCTGGATAATCGAACTTCCTCCGCAACTACTGTCAAGAGTATAGGTGCACCGGCGTGAGATATCGCTGCGATTTCCTCTATTGGCCTTTCTAACGTCACTTCACCTGAAAAATATAGAACATTTATTTTTTATTTATTTAGTACATCGACAATTATATACTTACTTACTTACTATTTAGATTATACTTCAGTCCGCCATTTTTTTATATTTTGATAATAAAGATGAAATACATAATTGGCTGCTTAGCTGTTTTCAGAAAAGTATTTTAAAACTTTCATAAGTATAACCATATTCTGCCACTATCAAATTTAACTTTCTCCGAAAAGAGTTATTAAGTAATTAATAATTAAATGAAAGGAAAACATATTTCTTTTAAAATATTTAAATTTGACACGCACAAAACAATCCCTCATACACGTGACCTCACATTTTAATAAGCACACGCACACGCACACACACGCACACACGTTGATGTATAGTTTATTGAAATGTGACGACACACGATGCGCGTTTCGGTACTTGTCGTCCACAGAATATAGTAAATTTAATTTAGCAAAAATAAAACAAACTTACAATATATTTTAAATAAAACATTTTTTTTTACTACATCGTTATTATTTACATATCATAATTTATTCTTATATGATGTAAAGTAGCCAATTAATATAAATCAATTTAGCAAGTCACGTTGAATTAATCAAGGACTGCAATTTGTGTGTTAAAAATTATTTCAATAATCAGAGACATCTATCAAAAATTTAAGGAGTTTTAAGAGTCGCTACTTTGCTCTAGAAAAGCTGTGTATTGATAATAAGAGGTGATAGATGTCGCTAGTAGTACTCAGTATTATGGAACTAATACTATCAATGATATTACAATTATCATTGAATGCTATTGCTGAAATATTCAGAAAATTTGAAAGTGCACATGCATTAAATATAATATTCAAACATAAGAATTTTTATATTTACATATATTTTACAGTAAAGTTTCGATTTCTTTTATTTTTTCTGGTAAATAGTCGGTATTCTATCCATGATTTTAACAAGAGTCTAAATTTTTTCTAATGTATATATGACAGGCAACCTCAATGGAGTGACAACTTGAGAACGAACGCCTTACTAAAACTGCCTTGAATTTCACTTTCATTGTATACCGGACGACAGTTGGACGCAAAATTACCATACAAAAGTCCCTCTTGATCAACCTCCTGTGGCTGCCATGACAAGGCGTAAATTACGAGCTCATTAATATTTATTTCCTAATAAACTTTGTGTAAGCATTAATTATGTCATTGTTATCCCCATCAGATGTTAAAGGTATGCACAGGCAATACTGCCTTATAGCCGGTTTCGTGGACGTAGATATCTGTAAAGGATTCGAAACTGTACCTTCATTTTGTATAGGACTATACCTCTAATATATGAAAGGAATATTCAGCTATAAAAGAAAGACATAAGACATTAAATTTAAGATTCAATACATCAGAAATATGTACCGTAATGAAGGCTTAATTTAATGTCTACTTGAGAGCCAGATTCGTAGAAACTCAATAGCTGTTAAGCTAAGCTATACATCAATATATCAATTGCTATACATAACACTTGTAATATATCTTGAACTTTCGCATACGAACTTCGATATTCGCGTGCCTGGAGTTTTCCATTCAGGCTTTTATATGAAGTCTGATTAATGCGATAAATTCCCAAGTATGCTCGCTCTTCTAACTCCGGTTAAGTTTTAACGGTTCTACTCTCCCGCATTTAAGATCCGATAATGTCGGAACTGGGCTTTGTCAGCACACTATCTAAAATTTTCGAAGGTAAGTAGTTTACTTGTGGTTCAAACAATAGGAGTACAGGCAACGCTGCTAATATGGCCTAATGAGCCTTTATGTATTTAATAGCGGTTTCCCCAACCAAACTGTTCGTAGCTTGCAACCATTTGTAGTTTGCCACGAATCGGGAAACGTCCAAATTAAGTTTTAAATGTTGATGTTAATTGTTTCGTAAATGACGAAAGTTGTAAACTTTTGAATATAACTGCTTGTGAATCTGATAGTGTTTGCAAAGCGGGTCACGCGATGGTCGCAACCTGGTATGGTTTATAAGCTATAGTGGCTGTTGATAAGGAAGTAGGATATCCCACGGAAACGGACGGACCGACGGACGTAACGATGTTATCGGGCGGTAAAAGAAACCGTAACTACGTAGTCTACTGACCTACTACCTATCCACTTTGACATATAACAAAGTTTATTTTTACGTTCTCCTCATAATTATTTTAGTTTAGTTCTGATGTTGTCTCGAAATTGTTTAACCAAATGGAAATAATTTAGTGGCAAAATATGGTCAAAAAATAATTACTACTATACGTTCTGCTACAAAATAATGTTTTATTGATTCAAAATTTATTTTAAAATTAGATCTATTACTCAAAGTAATTGTTTAAAATGGCTTGCATTCTATTTTAGAAGTACTGTATACTTATCTGTAAATGACCAATAAAATGATTTGATGGAGAAAAATAAAAATGTTACCTCAATAGGTAAAAACTCCTAAAAATAAACTTTTATAGCTTGAGTTATAAACATGGTGTGGTGGGGAAATTTGACACGCGATATAAATAAATGTTTAATACCTATTGTCAAGGACCATGAATACAAAAAAAATAATGTCAATCAGTTCTATTGTGTACTTTATTTAATACAAATCGTTACCAGGAATTTATTCTTCGGATCAAGACCATCGCATTATTACAAATACCCAGAGTTTTGAATAAAACTAAATACTTCTTTATAAATGTTTTTTGATGCTAAGATTTTAATCAGTATTCTTTTTAGTGATCTTACCAGTTGTTTCATTGATGTTGAAGAACGGAGTGAAAGGATTGCCTTCAGATACTAAACCGTATCGAATCACTCGCGGTGCTCCTTTATCGCCATCTTCAGCTCGGACTTTGACTACCATGTCGCCTGGTGCTACTTGCCGCGGCAGGTGGGTGATAGGAGGAGCTGTTGTAAACACTGGTGGCATATCTTGCACATCTTCTACTACGACCACCACTTCTAAGGCGGCTATGTTACGAGTGTCCTTCCCCAGTTCAACGTAAGGATCCTGTTTTGAATTAAACGTTCAATAACTGAATAATATTACTTTTATATTTTGTAGTTGTAGTATTAAAGTGAGCCGTGAGTTCACTATTAAATTATCATTAACGTTAGATTTATCCGGTAGGCACATATTATTATAATTATTCTTAGAAAGTCATTGGTGACCATTAAAATTTAAATTAACACACCACTAAAAGAGATAATCTGATTAACATGAAACTAAATTCCAGTATGACCTTCCATATTGGTCAGCAGTAATACGTGCTTGCAATATTGGCAGGGTATTTTAGCATAATAAGTAAGTTTATGTAGGTTAATTAACTGACTTGGGATTTGAGTAAATACATACCACAGCTAGGAGTGTCAAATGATACATTGATTGAGCTTCGAAATCTAATGGTCCAACTAAGAATATCGTGCCTTCTGTATTTTCAGTAGACACCCTTCTTTGTCGTATGGCAAAAAGCGGCGAACCCTAAAATGAAAAACAAGATCAGAATAATTGGTACAAGCATTTAAGAAAATAGAACAAGACGATATCAAGTAATAGACGATGGTTTAAAATTATAGTACGTGTAAGGACACGCTCTCCATTATTATAGCATTTAAGTGGCCGACAAAACGACCTCAGGTTACTGGTACCTAGCCCGTTCTCTGAGTGTGAGAAATTTAACACGCCTCAAGTCTTCTTAATGCCCGGTAATTGTGCAACATCATTGGACAGGGAGTCGCGGTCTCGAGCCCAACCCATCCCATTGTCCGACTATTTCGAGTCGCGTGAATTTGCAAGGAACGTGGAAAACCAAGGTCTCATGTAAATTACATTCTCATGTAAGTACATTTTTTAAAGTATTACATTCAATAATAAAAATTGAAGTTTATTGTACAATAAAGTTATCGATAATTTATTGTTTTGTAACGGGCATTAAGTCAGTTTTAACTTGAAATAGTGAAGATAAGTTTAAGTGTTCATTTATTGCTGTAAATATACGAGAAAAGCATCATCTTAAAAGTTGTAAGGACTTAGATTCAGTATAAGACTATATTTGTAATAATGCAACCAATCTAAGGCCACGGGTATAATTTCCTGCGTATACATGTGCTATGGCAACCATATAAATTGTAAAATGGATTTCGTTGGGGGCGTCAGGATCCAACGCCTCGCGAAAATGAGACCTATTAGTGTAAACGAAACCCTATTACGCGGTTATAACAGAATACGTGGCAAACGCGGTGTTAGCTCCGAAAATGACATTAAATACCTTTAATGGAAGGAATATAAGGTATTTTGCGAACGCGAAATTGGTCATAGCTTACCCATAATTCCAGTTCCAGAGGCTTCGGTGACAAGGGATTCTTTCTGGCGATGACAATTTCTAGATCAGTACCCCTTTTGGCATCCTGGAAAAAGATAATTTTATTATTTTTATTAATTAATTTTTATTATTTATTTTTATTTATTAATTAATGTAAGTTTGCGTTACATAACGTTACAAGAAACCACCAAAAAACATTTGTGCGAATGTAATTTTGCTTGCAAAGTCGGCAAATTGTTGAGTGTATTTGTAAACAAAGCTTTATTACACATTCGGAGGAATGGTATACGTGATAAGATTGATAAGTTCACGCGTGATTTAATTCTACACCTTGGTACCACGAATGTGAAACATTTAATAGAGTACGAGTTAATTTCGATATTTCATGTCCGGGAGTGGGAAGAGGGTGGCTTATTCGCCATCATCATAAATCACGTCGCGTCGCACGTCTACTCGGTCTCATTTGTTGATATAAGGAATCTGATACAGAAATAAAAGATGTTTCTGCATATAAGAATCCTGCGATAATGGTAAGTAAATTTCTTTCAAAGATATTTTTTTAGAAAGGTTGTCTGGTAAAAATCGCTGTTAGCGATAAGATCGCCAATTGCTACACTATCGTCATATATTTAATTTGGAAATTTCATGTACTGTTGAAATTGTGTGACAATAAAGTATTAAGTACTATTATTTTTGATAACACTTTAAATTTTAATGTTCAGCTCTAGATTCCATAATTGCAATGTACGTTAGCGTATGATCGTCTTCTTATCTTATTTAGGGACCGAATCTTTATGATGATTAATTAGCATTAAAACATGTGAATTTGAGATATTAATTTAATACATACGTAACTATATCGTTTTGAGTTGATTCTTTAAGATTATGTATATTCAAACCAACATTACTAAGCCAAATATTTTGCTCTAATAACATTAAATTATGAATAGAGTTAGTGTTTCTGCAAATGGGCGTAAGCTAACTTTTTCTTTATTCATTATACATTGCATTCACAATCATAATATAATAATGGTCTTTAATGAGATTGTTATATCCAGTCAGCTGCTCGTCGAATATTTAACAGGCATTCATAAGCATTTTAAATATTATTTCGTCGGTTTTTTTCTTTTCCTCACAACGTATTGTATGTGATAACTATTACGAATCAAGCAAGCTTGTAGTTGCAGTTGAATATTCAACTGTAAACATTACAAACTTAAGAAAATATATTCCAGAACTGAAAAATTAAGAAAATATATTCCGGAACTGAGAATTTATTGAAAAGTAGGTGAATCTAATACTGTCAACGAATGAATGTTTAGATAAAATTATATTAATATTCCGACTAAACATATCGCACACCTAGATCTAAACTGAGACAACTCAAAAATTTGAGTGAGTTTTGACCTAGTACAATATTCAAATACTCGGTGATCATACGCATCTATCCAAAATAACAGACTCAATAAAGGTTCGAGGATGAGCCGCTAGATAACTTTAGCTTTCTTTTGTTGAATCAACAGTGGTCGCGCTCCTGCCACGTAAACAAATGTATTGTCTGACCTCCACATTAGTTTTTTGAGTTGTCTTAGTTTAGATATTGGTGTGCGGTATAGTAATAAATTAATAAAAAAATAGAGTAGAGTAGACAGCAAACCTAGCTGTAAAAGTATGAAGGGAGATGGATATGAAAAAGATATTGTATGAGAAATGAATGAGATAAGTAAAGGAAAGAAAACTGGAATGACAATGGAATACTGGCTGGGGAACAGTAGGTGCCAGACCAAATACTGTAAGGCCGAGCAAATAAAAAAAAAAGTATGATTCCATTTACCTCAGGCACTAAGATGATGCTAGGCTGGTGGGGAAATATGGTGTCTCTTGGTGTGGTCGCATTGGTTCCGGTGATGGAGCAAGCGATACGTGAGCTTCGTCCTCTGGTGTTGCGTACAGACAGTCTGAAGTCCACGTAGCGACCTGGCTCGAGTCTCCTCAGCAGAACAACGTTGGCTTGGCACACGGAGTTGTAACGAGTGCACGGTAACGTTACGATGCCAATGTCCAGACGACCCATTTGACCTGGTTAATTAATGGACGGTAAATACACATTAAATTGAAAACAGACTTTGAACGTAGATGTATAAACGTAAATGAATAAAAGCAAAAGTTTTCAAACTATTCTCACTTCATTGATTATTATAGAACTATACAAAACGTTAAGGTGACGAAAGCAATAATTTAGTATAAAATCTTAATTGAATATTAACTCTTCACTCTTCCTATAATGTAGGGTTTTTTAAAGGCTCATTAGTGAGGGATGGAGCGACGGATCCGGAACTCTCAAGGAAAGCTCCTGACTACTATGATGTTAAACTAAGTTTCATTCTAGTTTTAGATAGTAAAATATAAAATATACTATCCTTAACGCCAAAGTAATAATTCACAATATTGAAAACAAATATAGTTACCCGCTGCTCTTTTTAATCAGAAAGTCACTTGGAATGATATTATACGTAGGTCCTAATGTCATCTAAATATAATAAAACAGGATACATAAGGTGTTCTCAATCAACATTTCTAAACTATCCAAATACGAATGAAAGCATTGTATGTTACCGATCAGCTCGAAATGCAGAGGGTAGTCGAAGTCAGGGTCTGAGGCACGCACACGGTAGATGACGGAACCGACGGCGGCATCAGCTGGCACTAGCACCAGCCGCATTAGAGTACTAGGATCAAACACTGGTTCACCGCCGCGCACCGCCGCCGCCGCGCACACCAACACCAGCGCTATGGCAAACGTCATCCTGAAAAGATACGATGAAGTCAAGTAAAACTCCAAAGTTAATTATCGTTTATTTAGTCTATTTATAACAAGTCTTTATGAATATTGTACATGTATCGAGTAGCTCGGTGGCGTAGTGGATAAGCGCCGCGGCCCGCGATCGTTGTCGTTAAGCATTTTTCGCAAGGGTCCGTCACGGGATGGGCGACCAAAAAATTATTATCTCGAGCTACTCCGTGCTTCGGAATCCACGTTAAGCCGTTGGTAACGGCTGCATTTGCAGTTGTTAATACCCATCCAAGTCGCATTGGTTCACGGCCCATCCTCCTTAACCATCCATAAGGAAGGCCTGAACCCCTGAAGTGGGGACGTAAAAAGGCTGATGATGATTGAGCAAGGCCTGATCTGAATTAGAACAAGCTGGACAATTGCCCCAAGCGGTCAGATATTTGGAGCGACAAATTTAAGGGTGCTGGATGATTAGACGCGGTCCTCCATTCTCTCTCTCAAGGAGTAAACTCGGTAATCTAAAAAATGTATTTTCAGAATTTCTTTAAAATATGACATGTTCAGAAGTTCCAGTAGTATTTACAATTACTTATAACCCCTTTTATTTTTATCTCTATCATAATGGTTATGGGTGGTTCCATAAAAGTTGGGTAACTTTGTGTTCCTGTGATTTTTTTTATAAATTTATATTGTGCACCCTATATTTAAAATGTCTGGTATATGAAATAAACGATTTTTAATCATGTCACTCATTTTTACCTTGATCACATTTCTTTGTTGTCAAGAAAATTACGTTTTCACTCCTTAACATCAGTCCCTAGCCATGTCACATCTCCAAAGTAATGTTTTCGTGTGTCTGTTTTGAATATACTAGGCGATATTTTAACTTTATTTAACTTAAAACTCATTAAAAATAACTCCATCTTATAAACGGAAAAATTTAATGTGCAATGTAAATTATTTTTCATGTTTTTTGTGAAGCTAAGTAGTGTCATCGGTAATTATAGTCAGGCCCTAGCCACTCAGTAAATTTAAAAATACGCGGCAATTGAGTAAAGCGAGCATTTTAAAACCGATGCGTTAAAAAGTCACCACGCGAAGTTAGCCACACGCTTGGGCCGGCCCGCGTCGGCCATCTTGGCGTCAGTGCTGTCGGCTTCCCCGCTGAGCAAACACGTGCTGTGCCAGTCAATCTGTCAGTTCCTAGGTGAGTTATAATTCGAAAAGTTCTATCGTTATTATTATCTTTTGTTTGTGTGTATATGTGCTTTGTTTGTTCTGATATTATGGTTATCTAACATTTTAGGAATATCATTTTAAGAGTAAACTAAGTATGATTTTGTTGTGATTCGTCAGTCCCTAGGCCATCAGGCCCTTGCCGTAAATGTGACTGGGGACTGATGCAAAGGCCAGGGACTGACGTTCCTACTCGTTAAAATAGATTCGTCAATTTGATATAGTGTTATTTGTTTTAGAATATGCCACCTAAAAAGAAAATACCGCTGTCTAAAGAAGAAAAAGCAAAAAAAAAGTCAGAACAAGCAAAAAAACGTTTAGAAAAAATAAAAAATGATCCAGTTTTATTAGCGGAGTATAAAGAGAAAGAAAGATTAAAATACCTCAGAAAAAAGGAAAAAGGACAGAGAAAATGCGTTAAGGATATGACTCCTCGTGAACATAGAAAAGTGAAAAAAAACTGGATCACTTACTCAGCAGCTTACAGACAAAATAAGAAAGTTGTTAAACATGCTGATCAATATATTGACGAAAATACGCCACCAACATCTGATGGAGAAAATGGTCTTCAGGTACCACAACAAAGAAATCTCGAACAACAAGTAGATGATATAAATGTTCCATGTATTGCTGATAGAAGACAAGCTGAAGCTAAAAAAAGAAGTATTTTACAACGGAAGATAATAAATAAGCAACTACGGAAGAAGAACCAAGTTATTGCTGAGTTAAAAAAAAATTGCTAGCCAAAGACAGAAATACAAACGATTGAAATTCCATATTAAAAAATCAAAGAAAGCACTTACACCCAGAAGCAAAATTAACGAACTGGCGAATGATCCTAATCAAAAGGCAGAATTGGTCAAAAAAGCACTACTTGGTGAAGTAATTCAGACGCAAATCCTAGAAAAAAACAGGAAACAAAAACATACAAGGAGAAAAACAGATTAAAAATGGCTTTGTCTGGTTCTATAGTAAAGAAGTATAAAATATGGAGGTTGGGAGGCAAAGCTGTGACTTACAAGAATATGAGTTGTTTCTGTGATGATGACGGCTGTGAACATTTTAAATTAGGTACTTTAGAGTACCAGACAAACATTAATCGACTGCGAGTGTCTACGGTGTACTCAAATTCCGAAGATGATGTGCCATTAGCAAGCACGAGTCATGATTGGCAAAAAATATCGAAGACAAACTATGGTAGTGGAGATTATGTTTTGATCAAGTTAACTATGCGAAAAAAAGAATACCGGTATGCTGCGATTTGCTCGAAATATGATGAAGTGGATAGTGAGTTGAAAGTTGCATTTATAAAAGTTAGCAACGACCATGGGACTGAATTTAAACTTAATGACAATGATATCGCTGACGTACCTTACGAAGATGTGATAGAAAAACTGCCAGTTCCTAAATTAGTGAATAAAAGAAACACAACAATTTATAGATTTAACAAGCCAGTTAATGTATTTGAGAAGTAAGACTACGTATTTTATGATAAAATTATAAGACTGCAAATTTGTGTTCTTAAAGTACAATTATAATTAAGAAGAAGCTATTTTTGTTTATTGTTACATTACATAATGTTATGTTTTATAATTATATATTATGTAAAAGTACGAAATATGTTTAGTTGTGTGATCTCAAGTAAGTAATGAAAAGTATTACTAGTTTTGTTATTCTTGTTGGTAAGAGAGTAGTATCCAAGATACTTATCTAAAGTTAGTTTTGTCTTTAATTTGATTAGATTTTGCTATAAATGTGTCAATTAGTAATATAATTGCAAGAATTACTTAATAAATATTGATTATGTACGATGAAAATGTAATTTTATTTATACTAACAATGAAAGGCATCAGTCCCTAGCACAGCCAGTCAGTCCCTAGAAAACCGATATCAAAAAAACTCAATTTTCTCTATAAGTACTAAGTAAAGTGACCGGCCTGTCTGGATACAAAATGTAAACTATTAAAAGAACCATATTTACTAAAAAGTTATTAAATTAGTATAAAACAACACTGATGGAAAAAAAAATTTAGAAATTTACCCAACTTTTATGGAATCACCCTTATATATTCCAAAACATAAATAGATAATGCTTAAAAATTCTAAGTGGGAGTCGAACCCACGACTTTTCACAAAAGGTCATAGGTTCTAGTCTCATCTCAAAGTGCCTGGGGCTGGCGACTTTTTTTTGTTGGCATTTTTCGTTAAGAATATTTTCCAAGAAAACATTGCGAATGCAAAATTAATCAAATATAAATAATAAGTAAAGTTTCTTATTATTATGTAAAAGTATATTAAGTACTTATTCCAGAAAATTATTCAAGCTGATTAAGACCCTATCATTGGCAAATGTTAGCGTGGAGTAGACTGGGTGGAGTTGAATATAATTAAGAAATAAAATAGAATATTTAAGTGATAGGACTCATAATATATTGCTAAATATTAATTATTATCTGTTTTATTTATATAAAGTAGTAATAGTAATATGTTAAAGTATGCAGGAATATAAGACTACTACAGCTAAAAACAATATCCACTTAGGTATAGGTAAATTTAATATTATTAATCTATAACAGTGCTACTTATAAACAAGGTCAAGCGTCAGAGTAAATTTACGCTAAAACTGCAATTTTAGTATTAATTCATATTACACAGAGAATAAGCAAATATACCTTCTAGGAGCAAATATTACTCCCGTAGAACCTCGTACCAGGTTAACCTTTGTAAAGTCTCTGTTTAATATGAATTTTGACTAATTCGAAGAGCAGTCTCAGCGTAAATTTACTCCAACGCTAAACCTTGTTTATAAGTAGTACTGTAAGATATTAATAAAATGAACGAGGCTATTGGAATTGTCTCGAAACTGAAATTGTTAAACTAATTATAGAATTAATTATTATGAATACATCATCTGTGGTTTTGCAAATAACACGATGAAGACTTTTAAATAATATGTAAGAATTTTGTTAATTTATAAACTAAGCTTGTTAAAGTCGTTTTAAATGGTTATATATAGTTAGCTAATAATAATTATAGTTCGCCTTATGAAGAGCTTATTTACACTAGAGAGCTTACATAGGTCTTTTGAAATGAAATGCAGTCAATTTTAGTCTCAAAGTTGCTCATCTATTTGACACTAAGCACTTTGAGCTAGAGTGTATCTTTGTTACTTATTTGAATAGCACTGTCTTCTGTTTTCCTTCTAATTCCGAGTGTATGAATATAAACTGTCCTCGAATGACGTATTTGAAGATATTAAAGAAAGCAAAAAGAAATACAAATCTTATTAAAACGCTGTTTGTGAGTTTTATTAAATTATATAACAAATAATGTTCATCGAAACAACAATATTAAAGTATAATTTTTACTATAACAATAAAGTAAATATTTTTTTAAAATTATTTTGTAAGCCTAAACATCAATATATAAGCGAAGAAGCCGTTGTCTAATTGAATCATCCAATCCTTACATCTCGAATCCCTACTTTGTGGATTGAATAAAAGCTAAGGCAAATTGACGTAGGACTACGGAGTTTGAAACAAGATTACTTTGTCGCGACCTAGTTTGTTAGTTTAAATTACGCCGATAATTTCTATGGTGGGAGGAAATCAAAAGAAGTTAGAACACGATCCTATGCTATCCAGGATATAGCCAATTTATTCAAACATAAATTACTTGTATCTTTGGATAATTTAAGGATCAGAACCGCGACCGCAGATTTACCCACTAGAGTTGCGAAAGGGAAAATTGTGTTATGAAATCGCACCGCTTCTGTACCTACCGACCAGGAAGCAACCGCTCTTTATAGCTTTGTAGGTAATAACTCGTTTAAGGATGCTATGAGATTAATTTTATTTCTATTCCAAGCAGTCGTGTTGCTTCGTTTGTAATCTCGCTAAGGAATAATTTACCGTCATACGGAATCAAGATGGTGAACTGAGGTAGTCAGCTACAAATGGCAGTCCTTCTTATTTAACTGCAGTTGTGTTGTAAGTCAAGCTGACAACGCTAAGTTCACTGGCACGTTAGCTCCCATTATATGTCTGATCTCTCCGACAAATAGTTTATAAAACTGATACAAGATTATCTGCTGCGATTGATGAAGGTAAAATAATGATTTTAGATGCTATATCTTCTAAAATATATTTTATTGAAATCTACGGCTATATAACCAAGCAAACCAATACACAACCAACCAACCATACAATATATAACCAAGCAAGTTGCAAGTTAAAAATATGCCTTTGCTATAACTAATCTATTTAATTACTTGACAACTCATTAGGGAATAGAAAGTTTTTGCGTCTAAGACTACTATAGGGTAGTAAACGTCGCTTAGCTAAGATAATAAATGCTCAATGTTAATTTAAATCTGACCTCATCCAACGTTCTCTTTCCAAATAATTTAGAGGCTCTTGAGTGTCAAACCCTCTTGATGCAACTAGTGAGGGTCATTATTTATTGCATCTCGTGCAAATGAGAGACGAACTAAAGACGTCCTGCGTCTGATTTACAATCGTTGTGTCTTCAGTCTGTCACATCGTCGTGTTTCCGCCTGGCGCCGCAATCTAACGTGAAATATTTGTCTGACAACGGACCTGCCGCCTAACATTTTAAATCTTGTCGCGTGTTCACAGCCCGAGCTCTGAACTACATCGAATTGTAGCTAATGACGACACCTTGATCATTATGACGGTTATAATCTGATAATACTGAGGTATCAACTAAGAAGTTCACAAATAATCTCATCTATGATTTGGTTTATTTGTCAATATGCTATTGTCTTTTGCAATAATTAAAACAATAAAATCGAACACCCTCATTATAAAATATGAACCTATATTACCATCTACAGTGTCAATTAAACATGTTTTGGCAGACAGTAAAGTAATTACTGCCG